CGACACGCTGCGTCTGGAGGGAGGGAGGAGTCGGGGTGGGGTCCCCGACGGGGGAACGGGACGTCGTGGGTCGGGGGTGTCCCCACTGTCCCCTCGGAAGGGGACACGCACTGGCTCTCTGCCACCTGCAGCCTGGACCCCTGGGTTTACTCCTTACACCGACTCCAGGCTGATGTGTCTGTGACTCCAAGCTGACCAGACTGTTAACCTGTCTGATTCCTTCAGCCTTCACACAACTCCCCAGCTGCTCAGTAGCACACACCACATTTCATAGCCCACGTGCTGCCAGCCTGCTTAGCCTCTCTTCTCGCCACAGCTGTGCCCCGGGGTCTCCCTGCCCCCACTCCCTGCAACAGCCGCAGGTGTGTACCACATGTGTGTGTGCACACACGCACATGCACAGGCACCCTCCAGCCTCTCGTCGCTCCTTCCCATCCTCACACCTGCTGAGATGCTCCTCGCCCAGCTCACTCCCACCCCTGTTCCAGGTTCTGTTCTGGCCCCTAGTCACCTCTTCCAGGCAGCCTTCCTTGATTTGCTCCAGTCCACGTCCACAGCCCATACACACCCTGCTATTAAAATGCGCAGCACCCTGTCCTACAGCCCTCTTTTTGTCTCCCGTGCATCTTCCCCTCTGTGCTGACAGCTCTGTAAGGGCGGGGTCTGTGCCCAGCTGGGCCCATGGCAGGAGTTTACTAAACGTTTGTTGAAGGAAGGAAGGGACCAGAACATTGTGACCCACGCTGATGAGTCCATATTTACTTTGTCTCTGTGTTTTCCTTTCTCTTATGGTTCTACTTGGAGGGAAAAAAAAGAAGACAGACTCAAAACAAAGCAAAACATTCTTTTTTTTATCTTGCCTTCTGCTTTACCTCAATTTTCTCTTCAAAAACACCCTTCCTGTCTTTTTCTAATGATTTCCAATAAAAGTCCCTGAAAATTCCTGTGGTTGAGGGAAGCTCTACATGGAAGAACCTCGTTGATTAGAATTCCAGGCGGAGCGCTCGCAGCTGGGAAGGGGTTCCAGCCCCTTAAGCCCTCCTGCATGACATGAAGATGATTATCCTCTGTCTAATGTGTGGACTCTCAACCTCAGGGAACTTAAATGATTTCCCCAAGGTCCCCTGACTTCTGCCTCCAAATACAATCTCCTTCCCACTAACCCGGAGCCGTTGCTTTGTGTAACTCACACGTCCCTGGAGAGTAAGGGAGAAAAAAGAATGAGGCCACAAGAGACGTTGGGCACCGCACAGGCCACCCCCCGCCGACCAGCACGGGAAGACCACTTCGAGAGGAGGACCTTCTGTGCCGGGTGAACCCCAGGATCCTGGAGCAAGGACCCCTCTGCGCCCACACTGGCCAGAGTGAACATCAGCCCGCCTGTCCGGGGACACGGCCACACAGACGAGGCCTCTGTCCCCACCCAGCCTGGCCTCCACTCTGCGCCGCAGGCCTCGGTTGCCTCTGACTCATTAGAGAGCTGTGGAGGCCGAAAGAGACTAATTACCAGGACAGTTAGGGTCCCGGGAAACTGTGATGAGTGTCAATTATCCATTGGAAACATCTGGCAAGAATGAAAGCCTCAAATAAGAAGCATTTTATTTGTAGCCAAGTGACTCACCCAGAACCTCCCCCTTCCGTCCCCCTTCCCCTCCCTCCTGACACGTCCCTTCCGGCTCCAAGTTAGGCGGAGGGGGGGAGAGCGGGGTGAGCGAAGGCCAGCACGCAAGGCCAGGATCTGAGGAGATCACTGCGTTAGAGCATCCGTGTGCAGGGCGAGAGGCAGGCCCGGCGCAGCGGGGCCCAGACGCGGGGCTATTCTGGGCCCTGATGGGCGCTCATTAGTCTTGGCAGCAGAGACGAGTTAGACCTACCGAGGGGGAGGAAGCACCCGGGGAGAATCGGGTGCCCTTGGGGCCTTGGCGACGGTTAAGCTAAGTTGACGCCAGGCCGGCCCAAGGTCAGAGTGGTTCCCACTGGGCTGCTTCCTGGGGTTAGCGCTGAAGGGAAGGCATCTTGGAAGGAGGCAAAGAGTTTTGGGTGCCCCATCCCACCAAGGCAGCAGCTGCCTGGACGGGAGACATACCAACCTTTCCCAGGGCTCAGAGCATGCTTTTCACTTCTAAAAGAAATGAAACACCGCCACTGTCAAGGCAGAAAGCCGCAGGGCACACCCGCTTCACCCTCCGATGGTTTTCGGGGAGGAGCCGGCACTCCCGGCCCAGCCCCTGCTGTTCAGAGCACAGCCCAACCCGCATCCTCGCACCACGGCCTCGCTGGGACGTGGCGCCCTCCGCTGAGGTGGGGGCTGGGGAAGGATGTGAATGGTCCTCACAGTGGATCCCTGACCCAGAGGGAGTCCGCACCCCCACCTGTCTCCACAGGGGACGCCTGTACCACACAGCCGGGGGCCCAGGCCCACGAAGACGTCTCTGCAGAGCAACCTCCTTGCTTAGCTGGAGTCTGCGGGCTTTAGCATAAAACTGGCTGATTCAAACGGACCGTCCTGTAGCAACCTGAGTGCTGGCGCCCAGGCTGTGTTAACCGGCACCCATCTACGCATTTTAGAAACGCTGGTGAGAGGAAGTCCCAGAGGGGCCGAGGCCTCGATACCCGGCTTCTGAGCAGTCAGCCCGCAGAAGGCTGGCCCGGAGGCCTCGTCACTCTGGGGTAACCCAAGGCAGTAAGACCTGTGTCTGCGCTGCTGAGAGCCGCCGTGGCCATCTGGCGCCAGCCCCTCCCTGCTGGCTAGCCCGGGAAGGACCCCCGCTTCACCACCTCCAAGCTCTCAGGACGATCCGAAGGGCCGTCCTGCTGACCGGCCGGAAGCGGGATGCTCTCCGATCTCCCAGGTCCCTCTCCAGCTGGGCGCCTCTGCGTGTGCCCACCCTTGATACGGAGGACAGGAAACCCTGCCACAGAGACTATCAAACCACCGTGATGGTAGCTTACAATTCTGCCTGTCAATTCTACCTGAGATACAGGGAGATAAAGCTAAAAAAGAAAAGAAAATGACATTGAAGCCTTTGCACTGAAGTGATACGATTCTCTGTGCAAAGGTCGTCACGCAGCGGAGGAAAGATGACCTAGGAAAAAGTCAGTCGGCACGAACTAAAACACCTGGCCAAGATCAGACGAGATCGTCCCCGCGAGTGCAAGCTCTCAATCCACTCTCTAAAGGCCCCTGAGATACCAGAGCCCTCTTCATCCAAGTGGACATCAGCAACGCTGAGAAGCCACTCCGGAAAAGACGGGGGCTGGACCCAGTAGTGATGGACGTAAGGGCTGGTTTATGATCAGGAGCGGAAGGGGTGACTCAGGGAAGAGCTGACGCAGAGTCAGGGTGGCGCAAGAAGGCGGGCGGGCTGGCCCACGCGGTCTGCGCGCTTAGCAAGGACAGTCCCCGGGGGAGAAGGCTGGGCCCTAGAAACCAGCCCAGAAGCCAAGGAGAGGCTGTTCTCATGAACTGTCTCATCCAGGTACCCCTGGCTTGAGTTTCCTGGCGCAGGACAGAGGTAGCTGGAAGGCGGAAGGACGGTCCGCAGAGAATCTTGGAG